TATATTGTGCAAACCCATGTTTCTGACTTCTCTGTTCAAACATAGAGTTGGTCGCAATAATTTTATTGCTACCGCTTCTGCTATTCCAAGATGGCGTTGTCGGAGGGTTTTGGAAGGATTTAGGGGTACTTTGTAGATGATTTTGAACGCATCTTCATTTATCTGGTGTCCGGTATCTACACGAGGTGCGCCGTGCTTGTACCCAAAATGGTCTTTGTGAATCCCGTATTTATTTATCCAAGATGGTTTGTGTCCCTTGATTTTTTGGGAAAACTGCCTGGTTGTCCTGCCCGTATAGCTTGCCGAACAAGAGCAAACAAACAAACTTGAAGGAATTAAGAATCGGCAATGTGTCTTTAAGATTCAATGATAATGGATCGGCTGGTGAACTGTATACGTAAAGGGGGCCACAGGAAACGTTAGATCGATCCGCTTATCAAGGTGTCTTGTTAACAAATCACATTTGTAGTACCCGTTGAACGGGAGATGTGTGGATTTGCTTTTGGCTAACTGTAGTCACCGTCGGTCTTTCGCATAAATTCTTTTGAATGAGTCTTCCGGGGTAACCATTGTCCAGTAGTGTCTACCGAAGCCGGTTCAGTTCGGATTCTAGGTTTCCCGGTGAACATACATTTCTAATGCGAACAGTTGGGAATGGGACGAGGTTTCGATCATGCTTCAGAGGTGCATTACCGGCAAATTGAGTGTACTGATCTGTCTGTCCATATGACTTTACTGTAGACTGCTACTCTACTAATTGTTCCATCCGAGTGCTTGGTAAGATTAACTTCTAGGGATGTGTTGGCCATTTCCATTTCGGATGTAAAATTGAGCGCGTCGTGAGCTCGGTTGAACGTGTAGGCCAGTGTGTGCAACAGTTTATTCTCAATAAGTAACACAAAAATATCATTAACGTAACGGTATTAGAATGGTAAGCCGTCCATGGTGTTCCGAATTTCCGGGTTTTCCGATTTTGCGACAAATATGTCACCCTAAAAAGAGTCCAGAGGGAACCCCATTGCAGCAGCCGTACGAGCAATGCTGAGTTTTGGGTAACTGCGGTCACCCACTGGAGCAAATGGTCAACCTCCATAGATAACGCTGGTTGCGGCATGTGTTACGCTTGTCACCAGATAGTTTGTCACGGTGAGCAATGTTTTCCGAGGCAGGTAGTGGATGAAAAAAACCTAGGAAGGTCAACCCAAGACCTGGCATGAGGTTATGAAAACCTTAACCAGGAGTGTGGGTCACGTAGGTCCCGTTAGGCTCCCTGTGTGGGAACCTCGGGATGATCGTACCCGACGGTTAGAGACACAGTGCTATGGCTCAGTGTCGTAAACAATGGCGTTCGTGCATCTTGTCAACTTTGTATTATTAGTCCACTGAAATTCTAAATTTTCTCCTTGATCCTACTTTTCACCTTTCCTGTCTTTCTCCTAATGTTCATCCAAATGGGTAGCCAAAAGACAGAAACCAAAAGCAACGCACGATAGTGCATGGTTAATGGTTGTACAAAGTGAAACCATTGCATCTCTGTCCTTTTACCTGTACAATTCTCCGTTGTAGCTAAACTGAACTTTGAACGTATGGCGTAGTAGTAACTGCTCCAAGTTAGATGTTTATCTTACCAAGCGCTCGAATGGAGCAATCAGCAGATCAGTCTGCAGAAAATCCACATGGACTGATCAGTACACTCATCTCGCCAGTTCTGTACCTTTGATGTGTGTGATCTCTGGTTAACAAGTTTTTTGGTTTTGTCTTTTCCAATCATTCTCCGCCACATCCATATCGTCTAATCCACACATATTCACTCTGACCTCATTTTTTGCACTTCAGTTCACGTTATATACATACAGTAGTGGCCGATTGTCATGCACTAAAATATTTTCTTTCTGATCGAATTAACTTTCATTACATTTATCACCTATATTGACGCTTTAGATATGGACAATAAATTGTCCCTTGTTTACTTCGATCTGCGTAGTTTTTAGGCTGCATGGTCAATTAAACGTGCATGACCTTGGTTGCCAAGATAAAATAATCTCAACATAAAAATCGCAGACTTTATCAAGTATGAAAATGCAATATATTCTAAAAGAATTAAAGAATTATGCCAAATTATTTCCATAAACCCTTGTAATCTCGGTTATTTATTATGAGGTATTATTTCATCCAATTTATAAGCCATAATATCAACTCTATTGAATAATCAAATGAAATTCTTTCACAACCCGGAGAAATGGCATTAAATAAAATTTCATAATAATAATTTTTGTTAAAGACTCACCAAGGCTTGTTTATTATTATTTTGAAAAAAATATTTACTTCAGTATGAATGTTGTTGCCTATACAAACCCTCGTCTGTTTCACATGGATCCGTTGCTTCAGTTTCGATTATATATATATATTGCTCTGTCAATATCGCTATGGCGGTCGAGGTATCCAGGTATGGTATGTGCTTTGCACCAATAAAATGCAAAGTACTGGTTCAAGACTGGCAGGAATCTGTGCCTGTACTCACCCTCTGTGGTGATCAGCTGGAAATGGTCGAAAGCTTTAAGTACCTCGGGAGCTTGATCGCACCAGGTGATAGTGTTGGGGAGGAGGTCACATCACGAATTACGAAAGCTAGAGCGGCTTTCGCCAACCTGCGACACCTGTGGCACCGCCATGACATCCGACTATCCCTTAAGAGAAGGGTGGACATTGCTGCAGTTCGTATTGTTCTCCTTTACGGTTGCGAGACCTGACCTCTCTGCGTTGAGGATGCTAATCGGCTTTCTGTATTTGACCAACGATGTCTCCGAAGCATTGCTCGTGTCTGGTGGGAACATCGGGTGAGCAATGACGAGGTCCGTCGTCGTGTGTTGCGTGTGGATAGTCGTTCTCTAACGGAAGTAATCGCTCTACACCGCCTCCGATGGCTTAGTCACATATTGCATATTGTCCATCGACTGCCTTTCCGTGCTCTCTTCGCACGCGTCGAGCAAGACCGGAGAACGCGCCTCGGCGGTCAGACCATGACATGGCGTAGAGGTATGAAGAAGCTGTTTTCAGCTTTGTCTTCGGTTGGTGCAGCCCGCCCTTCAGGTTGGGGCCCAAGGGATGAGGATTGTCGTTGGTTATAGACGCTAAGAGATATGACCCGAAATAGAAGTCAGTGGCGCGAATGCCATACGGTTTGCCTATTGAAGTCCGTGCCCCATAAAAAGCGATAAACTAACACACAACAAACTTCAAAAAAGTGTACGGTGCAACACACAAAAAATTTGTTATCCTATTTGTTTGTTATTTTCCATTTTAACGGTTCCGTCTTTTTTTACTATGTTCTGTGTCCTAAAGCCCCCTCCCTTTATTGTTATTGCTATTATTGTTGTGACGTTGGCATCATGCTTGTCTGCAACCGCTGTTAAATATATAAATATATGGGAATCTTCAATGAAGAAAATTAATACATTATTATTGATAATACTATAAAATAATACTCATTGGTCACATAGTGACAGACTGGTATTCATCTGGAAGCATGGATAGAGAGAGCGAGAAGAATAGTCTGTTCATTTTCTCCTTTCTGCATATCAGTTTTAATGCTTATTTATGTCTATCGTATCAGTCTGTCCCCCTTATGCATTATCTGTGGCGAACCGGAAGGTTCCGTGTGATTAAACTTGTTTGGTTGCAAATCCTCCCGTCCCATCGGATTGTCATTTTTCAACTATCATTTTTCATGTCCGAACAGTGGCTGCCGGTGATGCACCAGGGAACGTTGTCCAGTGTGGACGTAAATCTCCTAGTCAGTACAATGAAACCCACCCCGGCTTTGGCAAAATTACGACCGGATTTGAAGGAGATGTCTGAAAAGGTGTGTGCTTTTTTTGTACAGTAACTGAAATAAGTGTGGACCAAATGTGTTTGCGCGATAGAACTTCGTGCCTGGGCATTCACCGCTCACTGTGAACTGCACCGTCGTGGTGAAAGTCTAAACATAACTTTTGTCGTTGGTCTCGAATTGCTATTCCGAGAATGTGTGTACACAGTGTTTCCTTCCGTCGTTCGCCAGAATGCCCATTTCAATTAATACCAGTGTACGAATTGCGATTTGTGACAGTCTGACAATTTGTCTATCCTTTTTGTTGTATTGCAAAGTACTGTTCGGCTCACTGTTTGTTCTATCTACCCTGTAAGAATTCGATCTCGGACCGGAAAAAGGATAAGTTGAGTTAGAGTGATTGAAGTAAGTACTCGTAAACCTAATGGAAAACTCAATCAATATCCCCGTATATGAGCAGTAATAGTGATTCATGTGACTCCGTTTTTTTTACACCAGTGTGTGATAAACAGCAGACGGAGCGAGCCGCATACTCACGGGGACCTGCTGCTCATTAGTGGCTACCAGCAACCTAAGCCCCGAGACTCGGAGTGGTGAACCACTTAAGGCCCGATAAGTTAGGCGTAGTATTGCAGCGGACGATAACAAAGTTGCCTCTACCACCAAAGTCGGGGGGCGGTGGTGAGGCTCAAACCTAGGATCATAGGGACCAAAGCACGCCAGTAACATCGACTAAACCACTTCGCCACCACCACCTCTTTGTTGAGCCTTTGCAATGTGATTTTATCGGAATGTGATGTGTCATAGTGGAGCAGGGCTACGCAAATCACTACGTTTGGAACCAGATCACGGACAAGTAGTAACTATTTTTAATCAGCTGTGGGGAATGCATGAAGACAGATGGTTTTAAAAATTTAATTGTAGTGTGGCTCCGTCGGGGGGTGGGTGAGCTACACCAGTCACAAATCATCAATCATTGTACCGTCACTGAAACATGATATAGGAGTTAATTATTGTGTAAGAAACGGGTTGATTTACGGTTCATCGATTGACACATTTTGAAATGATGTTCATCTAATCCAATTGTGGGGCGTGGGTGGCATCCAGGTGTGGGTTCGAATCCCACCTAGGCTGGTGATCTTTGTCCAATTGAATTATGTGAAAAACGCCATCTGGTCTGACAGAGTCCAACTATCCTAGGTTAAACCATACGTTTTAGTCAGTTTCGATGTTACTTGTTGTGTCTAAAAATGCAGGAATAATAATATGTGAAGAGAGCAATTAATGTAACCTCGTAGCTCAGCTGGTAGAGCGTACACTGAACAAAATCGTTGGTGGTGTCCATGCATAGATTCTAATACCAGCAAGCATCTTGTTGGATTGAAAGACTTCAGTTATGTTATAGACCATCTGTACAGACTAGGGACCTGCACTGCTTGGCATTCGGGGCTATGATCTTTTTGCTTCCAGTTTGGTACTTACCATGAGATAAGGGGGGAAGGATTCGGTGTTTGTGCCATTTCGTCTGTTATTTGTGTTTCGGGTGTCGGACGTGAAGGGTGGCGAGGCAGCATTAGGTGTCATGTGGTGTAGTCGATGATGCGAGCGGAATTAGGTCTGGCATGATAAGCTGGGCGGTGTAGAGATCCTATGGCTCCTAAATCCAATGGCAGCCAGTAGTCATTTTCTCGCCGATGAACCAAACGAAGTTTTTCTTGGACGGTGGTGGCCCGTTGGTGACGTCACCAATTATCACCTCGGAGGACGTGTGTAGTCGAATCCCATCACCACCGCCTGTCTTTCTCCATTATGTGTGTTGCATGGTAGCCCTTTG